AGAAATCTTTAAACAGGAGAACAATCAATATAATTAGTTCTTTTAGAATGAACTAACTTGCACAAGTTATTAAAGGAATCGGGCTTAAAGAAGTCGTGCCTTTTAAAATCTTACATGGTCGTAGCTTTTTATACACGCATTTATATGTATATGTGCCTATGTATAAATATTTACATAAAATTAGCGTTAGCTATAAACGGAAGGCTGAAGGAAAACTAAACAATTATTTGGACTAATTATTTTTGAAATAAGTTTTACAATCTAACTTAATATACCAACTAGTTGATGTAAGCTTGTACAATGTTCGTTAAATTATGAAACTGTATTTATACAATTCTGAAGTCTCACTTAACATCTTTCGATCAATGGGCATCATTCTTCGATTTAAGTTAGACATAGTTTAACAGAATTGAGAAACAAGAACTTCATTCCTGAGTATCAATTAATCATAGTTGAATAAACAAAAATTGTTTTTTATCGACGGAAATCCTTATCAGATATTTCTATGAATGCTGACGTAATTTACACGAGTTTTAGCCTGCCTTATTTGTATTGAATAGTACTGCTTACAGTCACATTGCCTGAAAGACGACGCTTGTAGCAGCCGATCGAATTTGTTCCTATTAACTGATGGTACTTTTACCAAATTATAAATTGGATGGAATTATGAAACTTTGTGAACCGTGAGTTAGATATATAAGAAAGAATTTTATAAGTAAGTTTAGGTGTTTTATTTTTATGGTATACAGCGCTTATATGCATCTTTGGCGTACATATCACTGGATAATACAATGTCTGGGCTGACGGTAAATGATTTTTATTTATTTTTTTAATCATAAGATAACATCATTTTATGATTTATCCCAAAAACCGCTCTTTGATGATACATTATTACATTTAAAAATTTACCATAGAGGAAACTACAATTGTGACGTGGTTCTGTTTTTCACCATTACAGTCTCATCCATATTGGGATCATTGTAAGAGTCTGGTTGAGTCCATACCGAAATATCCTTCATATTACAAGATTTACCCTCAAAGCTGAACGTGATATGGTAGGAAATTAAGATGGTTTACTTTATTTTTATACTAGCTGACCCGGCTAACTTCGTATCGCCCTATAATCAAGAAATATCTATTACTTTTTTATCTGAATGAAGTTAATTTCCTTATTCCTCTAAACAAAGTTTTGCCTGGTTCAACCTGATAAACGCTAATAACTCAATTTCTACTTTTACATACATATCGACAGCATATTGGAGAAATACACGCCATCATTTTAAGATGTGATTGACCTCAACTTCTCCAACCATAAGCCTGTATGAATAATAATTAATTTAGTGAACTAACTTTTTGTTAGTTTCAGAACCTAAAAATATTATTTGTGATAAAATAATATAAATTACTTAAAGCTATGATAAACATTAACTTAAAATGTTTATTTACCTGTAACTGGATTTACATATCATCTTCATTAAAAAGTAATACCCATCTTCACCTTGCCAAAATATATATATATATATATATATATATATATATATATATATATATATATATATATATATATATATATATATATATATATATATATATATATAGATGTACTTCTCTCAAGATGAGCGTAGGTTATAACTGAAGTAATTCGACGGAATACTTTATTCCTTTCAATGACGTTCTGTGTATGACAAAATTCACCAAGGGTCAAGGTTGAATAAGGTCAGTCTGACAACCAAAAAGGATTCGCAACTGTGCAGTTAGAGATGTTAGTCTCAAACAAATATCACTGTCCGAACTAACCAATCCCTGCAGGATCGTATCGTTGTCTTATCTTGAACTTACTAATCATAAAAATGTTAAATCCAGTGTCCCTAATCCTAGAAGAACGGCTGTAGGTTCCCAAGCCAAATCTTCGCTGTCTAAATCTGAGGCAAATACATTCCTGTAAATAAAGGAACGAATGAATTATTATAGTATTTTAAGTTATGAAGTAGAAAATAGATTTTTTTTATTTCATAAGTAATTTATAAGAAAACACTTCTCTTATAATAAAGTTTAAAAAAATAATAATAAAAATTAATTATGTAATACGTACGTTTACTTAATTAATAAATTTAATTATACATATAAAAGGAGTTTAAATCTAGGTTAATATACGAGTATCACGAAGGAATACGACTTCTCATCATTTTACAAACATCAACGTTTGAATGTAGTAGACGTTTGAATGGAGTAGAAGTATTTAGTTTAAATGGTTTATTTAAGTGTAAGAGAAATATTATCTGTTAGCTATCTAAATTATGTTTTAAAACTTATAACCACAGCCCTATTAAATAGCAAAATGTTTAAAGACATCCACAAACGACACTGCTCTAAATGATGACACATCATATCTAGTCAATGTTCGTAACGTGAATAAAAATTTGCCCTAATTAGCAAATATTCAGCAAAATCTATTAAAAGTTTAATATGCATGGATAAAATAGAATAAATATAAATAATCAATAAAACAAACTAAATTAAATATTTTGTTTCAACATTGATTTTGTAGTAATGTAGGAAAACAATATGTTTACGATTTCTGTTCCAGAGGCGTAAGACGTAATTTACAAAGGTTTATGTATTTCTTGACTATCTAGTCACTCATCTAACTCATCACAATCAGTCAACTTATCTAAGTTACATGCATTATAAACTAGTAGATAATATTTTCAATAACTTCTCAATAAGCTCGTTTCGTGTAAAGATTTAAAACGATTTAAAAAATAAGTGCTAATTATAGGTTCATATTTTCAAGCGGTCCTCTGTGTATTAAAATTATAAGATTTTTCAAATTTTACTCATTACTTCCTTCTTCTATCCAACACAAGTCCTTCAGGTTTAGGGTAACCAAGGACGTAACAAAAAGGACAAACTTACGTTATCCGTCATAATAGTAACTCAACAGAAGTCGAGTACGGAATGTCTTTGATTATGATCGATATAAATACGTTTTCCTGATTTTTTCTGAAGTTAATTAACAAAATGTTTGACTCAATTTAACGTAACAACAAATAAACAAACCGAAAAAAAATTAAAGACAACTTCTAAGCATATTATGTAAATCAGAGGCATTATCGTTTAGTACATACAGCCTTAAAACTAATGACTAATATAATATTAACAGTTAAAATCCTTGAGCAATGTCACCACGTCGACCAACAACCGAAAAGTGAGTCAGAGTCTCTTTTGCGCACTACTTCTATCTTGTTTTTTCTGAGAAGTATATATAACATAACAGGAAATAACTTATGATTTCCAATTTATTTATTGGTCTACTTAGTATCTCCTTACATGCTTAATAAAATCAAGATAAATAACAAAAAAGTGACATTTCATTATATCACAACTAAAAGGAAACCATCTTACCGATCGACACATTATAAATAAATTTATTTCAGTACTCAATCACATTTATACATATCACTAGTGTTCAGGATTTCGAAAATTGAATATTGCTGAATTTTCATGTGATGCTTCCTAAGATTATTTTAAATTCAGATACGGATTAGGGTAGGTGATGAAAACATTTCGCTGGTGTGCCCTGTCGCTGACAAATCCGGGGTACACCGACATAGCGGCCGATGGCTTTCGCAGTGGTTTTAGTGAGTAGGGTCCTGCCCAGGCTGAGCCTCACACATCCCTTCCGGCCCCACCAAAGCCAGTTGGACGGCTAGTAAAAAGAGTTTCCCTGCTTCATTAAAAAAAAGGTGATGAAAACATTACACACTTTCTATGGAAGAAGCTATGCTTTTCGTTGAACGGTCCGTTGATCTGCCATCGCGGACACTATTCTGCAGTGCATGGATTGTTTCACCCTCAATATCAGCGACAAGTCTCAAATAGATAAATCTTACACTACAGTTTAAGATATACTATTCAAGATACTACAGTATACTATTCAAGAAAATCAGGCTTAAAACATCTTAAATATGAATCCTAGGTTGCAGAAACAGCTGCGAAAAAACAATTTTGTTGCATTTCGAAAGAAAGAAATCTGAATTTCTTTGCTCTCTCTTTCCTTAAATTCAACTCTTGATGACAAGGGACAGATGTTTATTTTTTTTATTAGAATTTGCTCATTTATGGCACATACAAAAAGTTTTATAATCCTCCTTAAGATTAAGTCCTTGTTGTTATGAATCACACTATAATGATGTTTTCGTTATTTTGCAGCTCAGGCCCGTAAATATTTATATTTAAGTTCTTACTTCTTCTTAGTTATACAGTGGTTGTATAAAACGGATTATTTATTTCCTGTCATAGCTGTAGACAACATTTTAATATATTTTACAAAATCGTTTAGTTTTATCTCCATTGAAATAGATATACTAAAGTTAGGAAATCTGTACCAACACATAAACAAAATTTAAGTGTCTCTTTGTAATATATAAATATAAATATTTTATTCATTGTATAGTGTGTTTGTAAAAAAATATTTCCTGGTTGTTTATTCAACCCAAGGCCTTATACGGCTGTATCGATTTTAGAGAAACTCTCTAGCAAATACCTTATGTAAAAAGAATTGACTTTTATTTCAACAAAAATATATATTTTTATGTTTATAAATAATTAAATAAATAAATATTCCATGCGTGCAATAAATAATCTATTGGCCTTTTAATTGAAATATTTAGCTCAACCATGCCTTATGTTCAAAACACAATTATAGATACTGATACTTCGTTTATCAAGATGTTTATATCAAAATGCAAACAAAATTATCAATTGTATAAATAAACGATATAACCTGATTTCGTGAAAATATGATATTCCGTTTAATATTTTATAAAATATATAGAATATTATTTCATATGGAAAATGGTTTGAAACTCGCAATAAAAAACAAATTTTTGTTATCATGTGTTGTAATAAATAAGTGAAATATTTACAAAATTCCTTAACATATTGTATATTCAAGTTGTAATAACCACGGAAAAAACCTGATTACTGCAGAAACATTTTTAGTATCTTCCGTAGATGGTCACAGTGAAGTTGAATCCGTGACTTCTTTGGCTCTTCAACTTGATTTTTACGAATCTCTGTCCTACACCACCAGCAGATATTGTTGGATAGCCACCATTTCCATCATTGTAGTGATCCTTGATATATATCGCTCGAATATAAGCGAAGTTGTGCTGCCCTGGTTCAGGATATTCAAGTATGCTGGTGCGTACAACAAGAGGAAAGCCGTATTTATATTCGTTAACTCTGTAAATTATGACGTCACCGTAGGTAGCCTGACCCACAGCTAAATCGTGGCTCTGGCAATAGCCGGCAGCAATCAGGCAAAGGAGAGACAACAAAGTTAAAACACGCATGTTGTATGGGTTCGTTCGTTTCGTACTAACCAGCTGATAAAGACTTGTTAGATTTTATAGAAAACAATGGTTTTATTCGAGAGTGAAACAGCGATAAAGATTCTTATATATGTAGTTCGTAAAATATTTAAATTATTTTTTCTAATACCCAAGACACTTAATACTTCAATTTTACTTCAATTACCAAAATTATCGCTATTACTCAGATACAAATGAAAGAAAATAAATAACAAAACAAACTGCTGTTGCGTCTAACTAGAGTGTACTTTCGACTTTAATTTATTAATAATTTTAATACAAATAACATAAAGTGTGTCAACATTAAAAACCTAATCATAAATTATATTTATTATTAAAGTAAACAGCTCATATAATAAAATACCCTGAAAGAGAAAAAAATTGCTGTTTATCGTTTAAATAAGTAAAGATTACTTAAGAAATAAGGTTAATTGCTATTTGAGTGCTATAGTTTATTTGATAATAAGTTTTATGTAGAAAAAATGTGATGATAATGGTTTAACCGATTTTAATAATTATGATTGATAGTGAGTGAAATGAGTAAATTGAAAATACATAGTTCATTTTAAATGTTAGATACAAAAATTTATTGTTGATGTATTGCATAAAGCTTTTCATAATTATACACACAGTATATCAATCACATTAAGACATGTCGTATGACGCGTTCCAGTGTCACCTCGCAATGTACAAACAAACGAAGTTTCCGTGACTTTACTGGAAACAATATATACATATAATGTTTCAATGCCCGTGAAAGTATATTATAATTAGTTGTGTAGACTATGTCTTTGTTCCGTAAGTAAGAATGCTTCTTAGGTAATTAACCGTTTAGAATATTATGCTTCATTTCCAAGAATATTGTTACGACGAAATAAAATTATATTTGTTTGATATGAAATAGTAAATTTAACAAGTAACATATGTATAACCACAAAACATCTAATCAATTGAAGGAATTCTAATATATACCTAACTTATTTTTGTAAGGATAGTGAGGAAAATTTTATTATGAATTTCAATAATTCGAAATTTCATGCAGAAAAAAATGAAATAAATAAACTAAGGTGATTTTATCACAGCTAAATGTGTCAGGAAAAAAGTCCTTAGAATAAATCTCTATTTATTTTAATAATATTATTTTAATAACGTCATGGTACTTGCACAATGTTATACGAGTCGTGACAATGAAAGATAAACGCTCTTTTGTTGTGTTTGCATGATTTGTATTGTTTTTCAGTAATTAAGTTTATATATTATTGAGTGAAAATTATAAATTTAAGAATATTCTTCCTGTTGACGTGAAAAAAATACACCAGTTTTAAAATAATTGATGAGGAAAACAAACGTGAAGTAATATATCAAGTGTCATACTGTAGACACATTATATGTAGCTTATTGTTCAACATAACCGATCTTCTAGTCATATTCTACATATTTTTGTGATATCTATATGTGATATCTACGTTATACATAGGTCAAATAAATGTATCATTATTCGCTTCATGAAAAGTAGGAAATGGTGAAGAAAAGTCATTTATCATCATTATATATATTCGTTTTAACATTACCTAGATTAAAAAAAATATTTAACGTACATTTGCAAAAATACTATTTGTTGAGACGAATACATAGTATTTATGTATAAATTTTTCTGTGTTTATTATACCACTATAATAACTTCTGCGTGGACCATCACTACCACATAAAGATGTTAATTTAGAGCTAAACTGTGGTTTTGTGACGGTACTTTAATTATTTTCTAAAATAAATATAGTAAATTAGAAAACAAGATATATTTTTCAAATAACTTTGTATATTTTTTATGAAATTTTAAAATAATCAGCAAGTAAATACGAAAGTAGTAAAAAAGGGATATTCAGATGGATTTACTTCAAGAAATGGGAAAAAATGTAAATGAGTCAGTTTTTTTATATCTCGGTGACTTTACATTATAACATAAATTTATTTAACTAGATAATAATTTTACTTCCGTTTTATATAAATGTAATTTTCTAACATGATCAGATATCATTATCTTTATTTTTAATTGTCAATTGTAACTTTAATAGCTGAAATATGTTTTCTTTGATTTTACAGAAGTTCAGGACCAATACAAATGAAAAATTTCCAATAAATAAGCTTTTATTCTTTGAGGTCAAAATATGTAGGATCTTAAAGTTTTGTTAAAGCTCTACATAATTAGTAATATTTCATATTATTTTATATATATTTTAAAGCTTGGTTATTAATATGTAACAATGACCTAATACATACATATATATATATATATATATATATATATATATATATATATATATATATATATATATATATATATATATATATATATATATAGTAGTTTATCGTCTAATAAAACTGTAAACAAGTCAGTCTTATTACTTAATATCACCTCTAAAAAAAATAACTGTTGGCATTTATATTTTTTGTTTTCTTGTTTTTAGTAATTAATAAGTACATTAAAATTACTTATTTGTTTTATAAATTACAAATCTCCGAGACAGTTAGAGTTATTTTAAAGCTATTTGTATATTCTTGAGTTTTAAAGCCTGTGGTGCTAATAGATTTCACGGTTCCTTGGGAGACCAATATACCCAAAGACCGTGCCATCAAGGTCAACAAATATTACGGGCTTACAAACGAAGTCCCTAAGAATAGGTTCGTTGTAAATTTGTACACGATAGAGTAAGTGCGAGAAGCCAATTCTTACATCAATTATTCCTGGAACGTACTTCGAAATTTACTTAAGTATAGAGAAGAGATAGGACGGTGGAGGTGGACATTTAATGAACGTTAGAAAGGGATCCCTTAAGCCTATACCTAGGTCGCTAATCCTAGGCACTATTGAAGCTCCTCTCCCTACAACGCGACGGACCCGGCACCGGCACGGTGATTTCATAGAATGGTAAGAGGTAAGTAAAAATCGTGAATTAAATGTGTTATTATTATGGAAGTTAACTTTTATTTTGCTTATTTAATAATAAGTTTCAGAGAGGAACTGTTAAACATATCAAAAACATCATTTAAAGGGTAATGGAAGTTTACATTGGTGCACTAGTAAGAAAAAAGGCAATTAAAAGTCTTATTATTTCTTTTACCAACGCGCTTTATTTTTAAAAATGAACCTTTAATACTTTATACAGAAACTTAATTATAATATATTTCTTTATTATAACCATAATTACTGTTAAACGAATATTGTGTCTTATAAATTTAATAAGTTACTTACACGGTATTAGTATTCAAGTGATGCACTGCGTACAAGGGAACAAGGAACAAGGAAGTAAATAAATTTATAATGTTAACCAATAGTGAATGCATAGTCAAATTAATTGCAGATTAAGTTATTTATAAAGAATATAGAATTAATTTTTTTAACGGACTTTTCGTGAAACTGAAAATATTTGAGATAACACAAACATATTGTAAGGCAACAACAATAATAAATTAATCATAGTTTATACATAAAAGTAATTAAAATATTATTTCTCGGTACTTTGAAATTAACCAGAAACTATATATGTACTTTAAAATTCAATCATATTCCAATTCTAGCTATTTAATCTGATTTGTTCTAAATTACACATCACCACCGTTTATAGTTTATTAATACACATCATTTATTTCTGTATTTTGAATCTTCTTTATAGTAATACACATACTTAGTCAAATGTAACTAATAATAATCAAATAATCCTTTTACCGTTTTATCGTTGATAAATTTCACAATTTTTCTTTGTGTCATGTCTCCGTTATCTAATTTTTGTTTTTTTTGAACGAAAACCTTTTAGGCAATTTAGATCTAAAAATATTGTGAGTTAACTTCGTTGTATATTTTTCTTGAAAAATTCAATGATATACTGAATAGTGAATATTTATCTTCAATAAGTTTGTCTGATAAAAGATTTGATGTCGTTCATATTATGAAGATGAATAAAATTCACGAACTTATATTTTTGAAAGTTTTTGGCCTAAACCAAATATTTAATTTTTTTATCCTTTGTTTGACAGAAGAAAAAAATATTAATTCAGTAGCAACTTATTTTATTTTCAGAAAAAGAAAACTCAACTATAAATAACATAAATATTAGCCTTATAAATAATAAGAGCAAAATCGTATCTATGTACAATTTCGTATTATGCTTTCTAAAAAGTAACTTCTTATATACTACATAGTTAGCAGTTAGTTGAGGATATTTTTTCATCCCAGAGACACAAAGAAAGTTTAAAATGAAACTAAGTTTTTTGCAAATCTATGCGGCTTTTATTAGTATTTGACAGATTTACTCTGCCCCTCATCACGGGTTTAGAAAAGTAATCAAAATGTCCGAAACATGTAGAAATAAAATATTCAAAATATGTAGTACAAAATTGACTCTCATTTAAATGTACATTCAAATTTTTTGGATATTATTATAAAAAAGTTTGTTCTCGACTTTCCTATCAAGATACTTCGAATAAGCTACTGAATATCAGCCGTAACTACTAATGGTGCATACATGACATTTGGAAAGTTCATTTAATTACAAATGCCAATTCCATTAAAAAGGAACTTAAAAAAAATCTCTTGAGGAACAAAATTAAAATATTTAATATCAGTTTCAGATCTTTTCTGTGCTTAAAATTTGTTTCAATTTCTTAATATTTTTATCCTTTAATTAAATAAAATCGACAGTACTTTTATATAAGTACTCTATGGTTCTTTTGAGAATACCTCCCAGGGTTAGTAGAATGACGATACAATCGTTTGTATAATAATATTTAAAAATTACTGAATAATTAAATTTATTGCATCGGCTTCTAAACATTAATTATTATTTACCTTAAACAGTAAAAACATAAAATGTATTAGTTTAAAAGTAAGAAGAGGACTGAATACTGTTATTATAATTAAAACGACACATGCAAACTGAACGCCTCCGCCTTTATTTTACTCTAAATTCTAAAACGAAAAATCTCAT